AGAAAATACTTATTTCTTTATGATACAATATTTAACAGTATACATAGTTTTAATAATTAAAATCAATTTACATTAACAAAAACACAATTTAACAGGATAATTTAGGCAGTTAACCAATGAAATATATCTTAAAAGGGGGAAATTGAAAATAAAGAATACCTAGTAAATATTTTTCTAAATGGATGTCTTTTTAATGCAGCTTCATGAACATATTTTTACTATTGAAAAATTATGAATTTACTGATTATGTAGTGTTACGAGGATGCATTTCTATAATAAGGGATTTCACTGAGTGCTACTTGTTATTACAAAAAAGTTTTCATTCATGAAGTAGTTGTAAAATAGAGAAATTAGAAATAGAATGTTTGGAAGATTCTAGATCATTCTAGTATATTCGAGAAAAATCTAGATGATTCGAGAAACATCTAGAAATATGCAAATTAGGTGTTAGCCCCTATAAAAATGGGATTTTGGAAAAGGGTAGTTAGTTGATGAATGGGAATTTCTGCTGTTATCAACTCCGGCTGTTGATTCAAGGACTATTATATCCAGCTGAAAGAATCTCTATAAAAAGTTGCCGACCAACCAAAACCCAAAATGAGAATTTCATGGAACAAATTTGGTAAAGAGAATTTTGACAAATTTTCATTGACCAAACTAAAAATTAATATTTATTTACACACCTTTGTGGATTTCCAAATATAGCACTTAGATTACTTCACTAGCCCTCTAAAGTGATAAAGATATTTGACTCCCTTTCCTTCTCCCTTGTAACACTTCCGCCAGTAACTCTGTGTTTTCTGTTTTGTAGGCCACAATTGTTTATCCTGTATATATTTTATGTTCTGTTTTATTAAATTAAATATTTGTTTGTGATTTAGCTCTGTGTTGTGGTAAATCATTTTTTTTCCTTTGTTACAATTATCAACACATAACAGTAGTCTTAAAGAGTAATTTATAAATATTTTTATCTTCTAATAAAATTTTTAGATAATTTTAAAATTTTTAGTGCTGGTTTTTTAATTTTTTTAGTGCTGATCTTTTGAAAAATATAGTTGACAATATAATTCCATGCTCTCTTTTCATATTGAAATGATATATATCGGAAACTAACAATGATTTTGTCAAAGAATTTCTGCAAGTTTTCAATTTAGCAACACCAAACATTATAAAACAGATAAAAACACCCACTGAAATGTGGTATCTAGTGGAATTTTTAAAATACCACAATCTTTTTCTTTAAAAAAATGTTCATATTCTTGAAAATAAAAACTAGTATTATTAAATATTTCCTCTTCTGTGGGAAAATCTTTTCTTATAATGTAGCCAGCTATATACAAAAGTGACATTTCAATATATTTAGGGACCCTAGTTTCAAGGTCTGGTAAGTTATCAAATGTTTAGCATCCTGTCCAGCAAATGGCCACATTTTGAGCAATTATAGCCTGGATCAAAATTATATTCTTTGACATCAACATTTTATTTAAGAAGTAGTTTAGTTTCTTCAATAACATGTTGAACTGTTAAAAAATATGCACCACCAGAACTTTTTCTTAATTTTCCAAATTCATTTTCTAAATAGTCTGTGCCAAATTCACCAAGCATAACAAAATTAAACCCACTACTTATCAAATATCTACAAACATCAATTAAGCCATTGCATGTATGTTCACTGGCTAAATTAATTTCTCTTGTTAATGATTTCATTCTTTTTCCTTGATTTCCTCCCATTCTTTTTCTCATTTTTCCAGAATTAGGAAGAAATAACAGATGTTCATCAAATAAATCTGACATCAACTTTTTCAGTGGAACCATATATTTCTTTGAAACTAACAATTTTCAAAAATTTTAAAACTTTTTCCATTAAATTATTTTTTTTTCTGCAGTATCCTCCCCATTTAATAATGGGTGTGTTTTAATGACAGCTACAGTTTGATCACAAAATCTTTTAAACAATAGGAAACAATTTATTACTCAACAGGTTTTGGGTAAATTGCTATATCAGTTAGTTTTAACAGCTTAACAAATAGTTTTTTCAGACTCAAATTTCCCATTTTGCTGTCATCTTTTTGCCTTCAGAATAAAACAGTAATTTGGAAGTAGGTTCAGTAACCCAATTACTCTAAATATTTTTGAAAAGGTGGACATAATCAAAAAGTAAGTACAAGCCATTTTTAGTGATCCAGTGTCAAATTTTTTGAAAAAGATTGATGGGTCCTGTTGTCACATACAATTGCAATTACTTCACCATTGTTTGATTGCACCCAAATTATATAAAACTTTTATATAAAAACTTTGCTTCTAATTTTGCAGCTGGGATCATTTTAAGTAAAATATTTGGTCTTCTAATTAAACATTTTAAAATGATGCCCAATATTGTTTTTGCTAATCCCTCAGAATTTTCAGACAAACCAAATAAATTTCCTCCATGATATTGTAGAGCAACTTTGATATACACTTCATCAACTAAAAGAATATACTTTTTCTGATTTTCAAAGATTTTACTAAAATTATCACCAAGAAAACTAGTCATCTAATTTTGAGACTTTTGATGTTAAAGCTGATAATGTTCTTACACTCTTAAAATCATCCTAAAGTCTGTTATATAATGACTGAAATGTAACAAAATATTTAAATGTACCAGAATCATGTTTCCCCAAGCCATTATGGTGATATAACATTGTTCTTTTAAAAAAAAAAAAAATTCTTATCAATTTTTAAGATAAATTGCTTCATTGATTTGTGACCAATGCTGAAACATTGATATTCAACTTTAATTTTTTTTTCTTCATTTGTTTAAATTTTATGAAGGGGTTCAGTTCACTATGTAAAATCAATGTAAATTGATCATCGACTTTGCTACCAGTGTAATGAAAAAACAGTTACTTTCCCGTTTGTCATCTTTAAGGAATTATGTAGTTCCAAAGAATTTCCAAATTATTTCACTGGTCAGTGTCCATTTTATGTTGAAGTTACATAGCAAACTGAACCTCCCTCATTAAAATTTTTGGATAATCATATTTTACGGGGGTGTATGGATTAATCACCTCATACTCCATAAAATACATATAAAAATTTTATTTGTATAAATAAGTTAGTCTTTAGTGTAATAAATCACCAAGGTTTTTTTTTGTTCACGTTCTTTTGAGAGAAGTGTATTTTTAAGAAAATCAGATAGTTTGTAAAAAAACTTAAATTGTTTGTGATTCATTTTGAATTTATTGAAAAATATTTTTTCATATTTACTGGCCAATGAGAAACATGATCTCAAGTCCTTGTGAATACCCAGATGATGATCCTCTTTTTTTCCCTAATAAAAGAACTCCAGTTAGCAGATAACTCCAGAAAGCATTTAGCCATCAAGCTGAAAACAATTAAGCCGGCCAGTGGAAAAAAGTTTTGATGTCCATAAGAGGAATTCTCTGTTGCGACTAAGAAAACTAACAATGAAAAGAAAACAAAGAAATTTCCTTAAGGCCACAGTAAAGCCAAACAAAATGAATATCTAAGAAAGACATTTCAATACATTGCTAAATATCCCAGAAATGCTTGTGGAATAAGTAGTTTTTTTTTGTTTTTTTTTAGTTTTTTCAAAAGACAGCTGCACCTTTGTTTTTCTGCTTTCCTCAATGTTGCTTTCTTTATGTTTAACATATTTTTTAAAGTGTAATCCCTTTTGTCATATCAGAAACCGTTATCCTGTGTTAATAGGTGCTCAAAAGGAAATTTGGGGGCAAATTTTGTATTTATACCTTTTTTTCTATACTGTAATAAATTTTTTCCTTTAAAATTCTACACAGTGGTATAATGATGTATGATTTACAGCATTTTCTTTTAGTTTGTTGGTTAAACATCTAAACACTTAATACATTGAAAAGAAATTAACTTTTAATAAAAATTAAATTTCTCTTAGCTTAAAATGACAAATTTTGCTTTCTGTAGAAGAAAAAGCAGGGTACTTCTAGAATACTAGTCTAGTAAAATCCAAATTACTTAGTTTTAATATCTATATTTATTGCATTAATTCTCATTCTAAAAAGCCACAAAAGTGTAAATTTACTTACGAGTAAAATCCACAATAGTAACAATATTACAAGAACTTTGGACCAATTGCTTAATATGCTAGAGAAGGAACACAAACAATTTTGGGATTTTTAAAAACTTTATTAAAATGTAAATTTTGTTTTACACTGGTACTTTTTTTTGCTCTTACAAATAACTGTATCTTAAATTAGAAATGTGAGGTAAAATCTTTACAACAGATTCAGTTGATTTGATATTTCTAAAGATTTTTCACAGAAAACTTTTTGCCTTCTTCACATTACAAGGTCTTTCTGAGTGTGCAGTTAAAAACAAAACCTTATAAAAATATTCAAAAGTTGGCCAATTTTAAACATTCATTTGTAAATATACATTAATAAATAAAGCACAAACTGTTTTCTCAAATTATTAAAATCAACTAAAAATTTTATCTGCAAAAGAATCATTAATCTAGTTTTTTCTTTTTATACAAAAGAACTTTCAATTAAAAATACGTTTTTAGTATCAGTCCAATTTAAAATAAAATTCCATATAAAGAAAAAAGTACTGAACTGTTATGTATGGCCATGAATGCTAGACAATCTCCTCAAAGATAAAGAGACTTGAAGTAACAGAAATATGGTTCTACAGAAGGATGCTGCAGATACCATGGACTGAACATGTGAGTAACAACAAAGTTTTTTTTTTTTTTTTAGAGAAAAAAAAAACAAAAACAAAAAGAATACTTATACTTAACATCAATAAGAGACAGTTGAAATTTTTAGGGCACTTAATGAGGAAAGTGGGCTTGGAAAATTTGATACAGGACAGATTGAAAGCAGGAGGGAGAGAGAAAAACAACACACAACACCCTGAGTAAATGGATGGCAGAACAAGGTTTAGGAGAAATAACAAAAAGACAAAATTTATTAAGAGCTACAAAGGACAGGCAGTTGAGGAGAGACATGATTGTCTACTTCCTAAGAGGACACGGCCCATAAAGAATCATTGCCATAGACACTGTGCAGGTGTTTCACAAGCTCTTTTCGTTCATCATCAGGCAAGAAACAGGATTGAGCAGCATTGAAAAACTGTAAAAGAAAGAAAATTGAATGATAATAAGAAAAATTGGTAAGCTCTATTAAATTTGCAAAAAAAAAAAAAAAAAAAAAAATGGCAATGTCTACATTTATTGCAATGAAATTCAGTACTGACTATTCTATTCCCATGAAGTCCCAAGTTTTTTGCCTGAAAATATTTACAATTCCACATGAAATGTTGAAGTTGGTTTTAATAGTGAATTTCATGTTCTAACTAATAAAATTAAACTCCAACTTTAAACCATGATCGAGTATTCTAAGGATGAAGATTGTAAAAAGCCCCAACCAGATCACAGAGCTCCACAAGTTAAAAAAAAAAAAAAAAAAAAAAATAAGGGTTAGGGTGAGTGCAATTTGGACAAAGCATTAGGATATCATAGAGGATTCCTTTTGGCCAAGGTGGATGAAATCCAGCGCAAATGAAGACACAAAACTTATATTGTTTTTTATATTTTATTTTGCTTATTCCATATTTCATTTTACTTATCTAAGTGTATTCATTTTTGAATGGGTAAATGCATATTTTGGCTTGTAATCATCTTTTGCTAGCCTAAACAGCCTGGACAAATTTTGGATTTGATTGTCCATATATCTCACCATAGATATATAGGTACATTGTCTTTTTTCACACACAAAAAAAAATCTCAAATAATGTTAATTCCTTGCTCAATTTTATTTTGATGATTTTATTATAATTTAAAACTTAATAGATAATATCAGAATTGTTAGTTCCATAACTATCTCTACCCTAACGCATATATTAAGCTGCAATCTTATTTACTATTTATTTACTTTTTCCTGTTTGGGATCGAATTTCCAGCTCCTAAAATTGGCCCAAGACAACTACTGTCAGGTTAAAAATGCTATTTTAGCAAAAAAAAAAAAAAAAACTCCTTCCAATCAATTTAAATTATGTTTTGAAATAAAGCAAATTTTGATTATTGGAAATATTAAATTTTATATATTAGTTTGAAATTAAAATTGAAATAAAAGCTTCAGGAACGATCAAGCAGTATAAACTGATAGCTTTCTCATAAAATGGAAGTAGCAGCCACAGATGGAAAGTCAGATTAGATCAAATCAAGCTTTCATATTTGCAGCCAAACTACAGACAATTTAAAGATGACACTTGAACTGATTAAAAACTCAAACAACCAGAAATTCATATTTTGTCAAGTTTTGTAGCTCTAAAAGTAGAAAAGTTCAAACATTCATACATCCAAAACATACTAGAAAATTATAATGAAATAGTTAAATCACAAAAATCAGTCATCGCAGCCTAAAGATGCCCTCAACATAACAACCAGCATAAAGATACCCTATACAGACATCAGGAACAAAATAAAAGAACATATCAAAAGAAAATGGCAAGCAATATGGGATTCAAAACCGAACAAATGCAATATTCAACCAATTATAGGAGAATGGCTCCCAGGTTTCAGAAAAGTAAGAAGGAAATAATTTTATCCAAACTATGAATAGGACCTACACATCTACTAAAATATGTAACTCCTCCATCATGCAAAAGATGTCAAGTACCTCTCATATACTCATAAATTGGTATCATCTCAAACCTGAACAAAATATTAACAAGCAAACAATACAAAAGAACTCTTTCAAAACACTAAACCAAACAATATCCTTAATTTCAAATCAAACTTTGTACCAAATTCTAAAACTATAGGTTTCTATAGTTTTAGAATTTGGTACAAAGTTTGATTTCCCAACAAAACTTTTAATATATTTTGAAAACTGTAAAAAAAAAACAAAAAAAAAACTTTAACCTGTCCCCAAAACTATCATGGACCTGCATATAACATCAAGCTATACCCAAATGAACCACAATTCAAAATGTTTATCAGAGCTTAAATAACCCTATGGTGTGATGGGTTGTTAAGCAGAAACAAAACAGAAAAAAATATAGAACTTACAGATTTTATGATTTGTTCTTTACTCAATCCAGCCTCCTCTGCAATTGCATATTCCTTATTCAAGTTTGTAGCAAAGACACAAGGATCATCAGTATTTAAAGAAAAGTTGATGCCATCATCAGCAAACCTGGAAACAACAAAGTTTTAATATAACATTGACAAGAATTGTAACAAGCTTAAAACAATATCTTCAGTATAATAATACATTTCTAAAATTATATTAAGCAAATCACTAACTGCTGCCTTTCAGGATAGGAAGTAAATGAATATTTCCTAAGAATATTAAGTTTTGTAAAAGTATTAGAAAAGAAAATCTAAGAAGCAGAAGAACTGGATTCAAAGAGCAGTGTCCACTGGAATTTGTTCAAAAAGGTATTCATGAAAATTTCAGATCAAAATTCGGCTTATGAACTCGTTGAGCTACTCTTCTATATTCGTTAACAGAATATTATCAGTTGATGATTACAAGATATATATCGGCTATCATGTCCTGTGTAAATCACTAAGAGCAGCACTGTTTTATGCAACACTGTATATGAAACTAGATAATGGATAAATGTGAACTTCACAAGAGACAGAATCATATATGCAGGCAGAGAGAGAAATGAAAGAGTAGGAAAAATGACGAGAAATTCTGGGATACTGGCAACTGTCATAAATCTAGTGATAGTAAAAGAAGCTACTGAATATAGCCATCATAGTAGTTTATATATCAATGTCCAAAAGCATGAAAAAAAGAAACAGTTTTATAAGAAGTTTTGTAACACACTAAATTATGTTTAAATCTAATGTAAATCAAAAGAAATTATTATCATCATCATAGGGGACTTAAATGTAAAATAGGAAAGGAAGAAAACTGAAAGAGTCAGCAAGTATGGACTTGGATAATGCAACAACTGGATAAAAATGGGATCACTAATACACAATCAAGTAATAACGAATACTTGGCTTCAAGATAAAAGAAATAACAGGACAGAAAATGTGCTCCTTGACAGAATGCATAAAATCTAAAAAGAGAACACTAACAATAAAAAGATACTACAAACATGAAACAAATACACTGGAGAACTCTTCATGATAACAGAAAAAGAAACCTACAATAATTACAATAATATTAAAATCTGAAGTAAGTTTGGCACTGGTCATGATAATTAGAAATAAAGCCACATGATTGGATAAAATTATAATACTGTCAGTGTTAGATTATTTTGCAGTCAATAAGATAAAAAAAAACAAATGAAATATATACTAGTGGTGAAATACTGGAAATCTCAGAAGATGTATCTTCATTTTGATGCCAAAGTAGCCAGGTGCAAATGAATACAAACTCCATTGGGCAATCAGCTTAATGAGCTACATAACTAAATTTAGAATTGGGATTCTAATGCAGCAAATTTAAACCAGAAATAGAACAAGACACAGGAATAAAAAATTGGCTTAGGACATCCACTTAAGACTGTAAATTATTTTATCTGGGCCTAAAGTGCCAGCAGTTTTATGACAAGCAACTGTCTGTTGTTGAGAAGTAGAAAAAATTATATGAATACATCAAAATTTTTGGGATCAAGTGACACTCAGCGGGAAGGTAAAGGAATTCCAGACATTATATAGTAAGACTGCTTTCTAGAATAGGCAGGGTCACAAGCCATCCATCAAGATGTAGAGAAGAGCAGTGAGATTAACAGTCACAGAGATAGACAGAGGAGTAGTTGGAGTTCTCATTGGCGTAAGCGAAGATCTGGTTTATTAACCTGTCATGATGGAAATAGCAGTGAACATGTCCCAAATGTCACTTACCTATGCACTACACACATTGACAGTTCCAGTTGAATCCAATATAGTGAAAACAGGACTTTTGTATTCTTTTCTTGTTGTGGCATTGATTCACCTTCCATTATTTTATTGAATGACCACTGGGCCTTTACAAGTTTCTTTTTGTTCACAGTAGTATAAACAGGAATTGGGACACATTGTAGGGTGAAACTGACCAGTCAGTAAAAAGCTGATTGAGGGCAAGAGCCATGAGTTTAATAGGCTGTGTTAATGATCAGATTACTTTCAGAGTGAGCAATATAAATGCAAAAAGACCAAGCCCAGGTTTTATAGATTACACAAAAGCATTTGAAAAGTTGCAACACGAACAAAGGACTAACTATTAATTGTAAGAAGACAATGTATAGTTATCAGCATAATAGACGATTCAAGATGTAGGTTATGTATTGGGGATGGAAAAACCAAGCAGATACAGAAATTTAATGATTCAGGTAGATAACAGAAAATGTGACACAGAAATCTGAAGACACATATGGATAGTGAAAGATGTCTTCCAGAACTTAAGCAAAGAGATAAGGGATAAGAAAATGTTATTAGAAATAAAGAAAAGTCTGTTGTACTGATATGTAATACCTAATCTATACGGCAGTGAATACTGGACAATCTCTTCACAGGTGAAAAGGCACTTGAAAGATAGAGACCACTTATAATCAGAAATAGCTGAAATTTCTGGCATACATATTGAGCAAAGAGCACCAATAGGACTTAACTCTTACAACACATTGACAAAGGAAACAGTGAGTAACCTACAAATTTGTATGAGTGCATGGCTGACAGGGAGAAAGATGGGAAGTTAAAAAAAATGTTAGAGCAACAAATACAGGAAGTTATGGAGAGCCATGGCACATAAAAGAAAATCCTTTTTTGTGTCCATTTTCCAGAAGCATCTACATTGGTGAAAGGGGTAGGGCTTAAATATTAATTCATCACCCACTTATCACCCCCTTCTCTCACCAACAAAAACCAAGCATTTCCTTCCATATTAAATTATTTCTCAATTTGAAAACAAATTTGAGTTTAATTATTTAACACCTATATTTTTCTTCTCCAGAGTTTATATAAGATCTCACCATGCCAACATCAGTTTCCTTCCTTACATTTTACCCTTAAAGATTATTATTAATGGCAGATTTAGGTTTGGTTTCATTCTGCCATTAATAATATCAAGAAAAAATTATAAACTGTTTCTTTCCAGCATGTTTATATCCCTCTTTATTAAATAGAACTGATCTTAGTGCTTTGAAGAGAGAAAGTACCCAAGGTATCAGTTCAAAGAATACAAACACACAAAATTAGATTTAATATTCATTTACACAAACATTTTTTATTCAAACTTATCGAAATGAACACATAATTGTATATTGGAAAACCTGACAGCAACAAAGTAAAATTTCTTTTATTAACAAGCAAATTTACAAATGTAATTTTTGTTTCATTTTGACCATATCTGATGAAAGATTGTCTTCTAAAATTTCACTTCTTTCTTACAACTTGTGACACAAAAAGAACAAAGGAAAGTAATAAAATGAGATAAGCTAGCAAAATCCAGTTTACATATTACAATCCATTCCTCCAAAGACCTGGCTAAGTGGATCACTTAGGACAATTTCTACTATGTCAGTAAGAGATCAGCTCATCCTTTCAACTATTCATCTTATAACTCCCTGCCTCTTGCCACATTACAATGTGAGGATGGCAATTTAATTGGTGGAATTGGAACTATCTGAGGGACAGTCTGTTTCTGTGAACAGATAGTCTAGAATTACACACAATCTCAACTCTGACCATTAATATAGACACAGAACTGAAAATGTCTGGTTTGTTATTGCTTGACCCCCAAAAGGTTTTTGTTTATTTATTTATTTATTCTTTTATTACCTTTCAATCAAATGATTAACAGCTTTGAAGACCATACCTCTCAGACTTTATGGATGGCAATAAAACACAAAACACTTGAGACCCTAGATAAAATATCACACCATCCCCTTCTATGTGGTAGGGGAAGGTGTGATAGTCATTATTTACACAAAACTAAATGTTTTACTTTAATGTTCTTTGCTTTTCAATAGAATTGACAGCTTTGCTAGAATGAAAGACTTTCTGAAGAAATCTGATTACAAAAAAAATTAAAAAAAATTTTTTTTAAAAATGCTTATTCCTGAAATTTATTTGATGTCATTTTTTTTTCAGTGAAATCATTCAACTTTGGGATGAACTGAACTTTTTTTTTTAGCCCATCCATGAGATTCACTGCTAATTTGAATACTAGAGGAAATATTCCTCATTTTCCATTGAATCCAATTCCTTCAGAAACCTTAACACATTTTATAAATAGCAAAATTTGCTGAATAGAAAGGGAAGTTAGTTATATTCATCAAGATAGTACTGTTGAATTTGAGTAAGATCCTATAAATCAACATCAATAAACTCCTTACTCTTTAATAAAAAAGGGGGAGTTAGTAAAAGATCAACAGAGATGACATTTAAAAAACAAAAAAGATCATAAAAAACAAGCTAATGTCATATGAAAAGTTGAAAGAACCTTTTCAGTTTTAATATTTCTTAAACAAGGATATTAATCCAGAAAAGCAAAATTTAAATATCAGTTCATGATAGATAAATTTTGAATCAACATATTGCAAAGAAGTCTTAAAATATGATGATCAAACTTAGTAACCATAGATATCCTATGTACACTGACTCAAAGTTGCCTGTGAGCTATAGTTATAGCACCCTTTATGCTAATTACCTATTAGCTATACCAATCCCATTACATCTCCTTGAATCTACAAATTAGACCATTTTCTATTGATAGCTTGTGTCCGTTTTCTTTCTGCTTTTGAACAAGTACTACATTTATTGTTCTTTATTCTAGATAAAATTCAACTTAAGACTGGATCTTGTAACGTCTTCATAATTAGTCTCTTCATGGGCAACACATCTATTTCCACCCAATGCACAAATTCATCCTCATTTTTTATGTTCTTTTCATCTTGTTACTTTTCAAATTGTAGTCTGAACAATGTGTATGTATGGTACTTTTTTCCCTTCATGTATTTGATATCATAATCAAAAGCCATTAACTTCATAGCCCATCTTAATATTCTGGATGTAACCGTTTTGCTCTGGTCATACTCCATACAATTGCAAGTGTTTCCTTTTCAATATTAGCTGCTGCTGGAAAGATACATCACCTGGTGTCCTTCCTGGGACAAAATTGCCAATACAGACTAGCCACTTGCATCTCTGGTTAATGTAACAATCTTTTTAGGGTCAAAAATCTTGACCATGGGTTTTTTTTGTTTTTTTTTAGATAGAGCTTCTTTTAATTTAATGAAGGCTGTTTGGTGTGTACTAGTCCATTTAAAAAACCCTTATTCTTCTTTTGCAACTCAGAAAACGCTTCAGTTCTTTCAGAATATTTTGACAAGAATTTTCTATAAAAAGAGAAATGATTCCAATTCTTTTTTATTAGTTGGAGAAGATACATTTAATATTTTTGGTATTAACGTTGGGTCCAGCGAAGTACCATTTTCTGAAATTTGGTAACTCAGAATGTTAATTCTTTGCAATAAAATATACACTTATCTTCATTTATGGTCATCCCTACCTTCCTCAACTTATCCATTATCAATTTATTTTTTGTTTCAGTTCTTTTTCAGCAGCTGCACCTAAACATATATCGTCCTGATACATTATCATATTTTCTAATCTCCCCACTAACAAATTTTCCATAGCTTTTAGAAAAATTGAGCTGGCTGTCTTAATTCCAAATGGTAAGCAGGACCATCTAAGTAAGTCTATGTGGGAGTTTATTGTTGTGATTTTCTTAAATTCATCATCTATTTGAATTTAGTGGTACGCATTTTTTAAATCAATTTTTGTAAAATATTTCATTCCTGCCAGAGAATGTAATATGTTTTCTATGTTTGGAATCCAAACAAATCTCATAATTTATGCCTACTTTGTAATCTTTGCAAATTCTAAAATCACCATTAGGTTTTCTTAAAACCACAGTAGGTGATGCCCATTTGCTGCCTCCAGGTTCTACATATTGAAGAATGCCTTCTTACACCATTTTTCACGGCTTATCAACTACCATTGGTTTGAAACGGAAGCCTATAGCTTTCAAAATACGATGAATTAATTTCTTTTTAGTTTAAGGCTCACTTTATAGTTTTTTTAATGTCCCAGTTTCTCATATTCATAGCATTAAGTAAACATGTATTATTAATATTTATCAAATCAGTTCCTACTAGACCATGACTTTTTATACAGTCTACGACCATAATAGTGATAGTTTCAAATCTATTTTTTGCTTCAAAATTGCCTTGAAAGGACCCTAATATTTTTATACATGTTCCATTAAACTGTCTTAATCTTACTAAGCTTTTCTTTAATTTTGGTTTTGATAATTGTTCCCCAAAATTCTTTGGAATAAGGGTCACTTCACTTCCACTGCCAACTTGCATTTTTAAGTCTACACCATTTAATTTAATATTTGTGAAGGTGTTCTTTATTGTTTCTCCCTTCTATTGAAAAAAACGTTTGTTTGACTTTTTAAATTGTTGTGTATTATTTCGACAGGTTTTACATTGGTATCTCGTCATCTACATCTGACTTGAAAGTGATTTTTCTTTTTGCACTTATTTCATGTCTGTCCCCATTCTGGACATTTCTCTTCCTTTGATTCATGTTTATAGTTGCAATATCTACATTTTATTACTGTTCTTTTTAGCGCATGTATCCATAAATTCAGATTGGTTTTCATTAGACAGAAGCTAGACAGGGGGGCTGATGTAAGCTGGAATTTGCGCCAAAACTTAAGACACGTGATAGTCAGAGATTCACTCGAGAATCAGTTGCTATCTCGACTTTGAAGAGGCAAGACCTGAAGTCGAAGCGCTGGTAGTTTATGAACGGAAAGATAAGCCTCATTTGATAGTGATGGAACTTATCCAGTTCAACCCAGGCAACTCCGGACAAGAAATATAACAAGAAATATTCCTGTTCGATAACCCCAAATTGAAGATGCAGAGAAATTTATACGCTGAGGATTCAGCCTACGTTTAAAGAAAAAGGATATCCAAAGAGAGGAAGAAAGTGTATACCTCTGTTATAAGCTGAATTGTGTATAGAAGATGGAAAGAAAGAAGAAAACCAAAGAGAGGAAGAAAGTGTACATCCCTGTTGCAGCGAGTCGGGTTTGGAAACCGAACTGTCTACAGAAGAAAAAGGAAGGAAAGAAAAAGGCAAAACAAAGAGAGGAAGAAAGTGTATACCTCTGTTACAGCTGGACAGTGTGTGAAATTGTGTCGAGAAAAGAAAAGAAAGGACAATGAAAAAAAAAAAGAGAACTGAATATAAAAGATAAGTAATCATATTTTGGACCCGTAGTAGAAAGATATACATACATCCATGAATATTATGTTCTTGCAAACACCTTTCCACATGTCAAAATAATAATTGTAACTCCTATCCCATCTCTTTTGTGTATGCGTTAGCTTCTACATTCAATTCATAGTAATTCATACTTATATTTTTGTATGTTCGGGTTCAGTTGAATCCATTTGGAGTTAGGCGAATTTTGATATCCCAACATAAGTTTTGAGATCTGGTCGTCGGATGTTTTAACTCATACTTATCTGTTCTTTTATTTTGATATTTGTATATTTGTACATATTAAAATTCTTGTATCAAAAATCGCTAAGCCTTATAGTTCATCCTTGTATTGTGGATCAGTATTCGTGTTGAAATCGAAGCGGACCTGGGAAAGATTACTGTTCGATTATCCCAATCGAACAGTGGTCTTAAAATATTTTTGTTTCCCAATTGTCCATTGTCACAATCTGAGAGAGATAGCTTGTATCTCTCCACAGGTGTGAGAATGTATATATCTCCTAGTCAGCGTATGATCACCTTATAAACCCATTCGTTGACTGGGGCATATGACAGTAGCCATATATATCCTAAATACATGGACTCAAAGTTGCCCATGAGCTAGAGTTATAGCTCTCTTTATGCTAGTTACCTATTAGCTAAACCAAGCCCATTACACATTTAAATATTTTTCAAAGTAGAAAGCATGAATTTTAACCTTTTGAGTGACTGATATTGTAAAATTTTGCCAAATGTAATATGAACATAGAAAAAATTAAGAAATTCTTACTTCTTCATTGGATGACTCTTAACATCTCCTTGGAAAGCTTTTGTCCTAAAGCTGGAGGAAGGACATATTTCAAGATGTATCTTGTCTTCCTTAACTCTAGCATAAAGTTTTTCATCTTCTATTACATGGTAGCCATGACCAATGCGTTCAGCATGCATTTCATCCAATGCCTAAAAAATGAAGACATTTCTCAATGAAATAGAATAATACATGAAGGTCACAACACTTAATATCTAAACAAATATCTAAACATCTTGGTGAAAAAGAAAAAGAGAAGAAAGGAAAAAGAATGGAAAATTAACTGACTGTCAACATTGTACCACTATTTGCCCAGAAATTGTTGGCAACTGAGAGCAAGGATTAAATCCATTTGATATTTTAACCTTGGCCGACAAATAACTTGACATACATAATCATGGTAAAAGGATAAGAGATAGGAAATTTTAAAAGTTGTATATAAAACAAAAACAGTCTTAAAACTGATTCCATTCTAACTATAACTTTACAAAGAATTCGAATGCAATTAAAACAAATGTGATTTCTCTTTGCATAAAATTTTTAAAAATTTGATTGTGCTTTGTAATTTTTTCCACTTTTCATTAAATGAAAAATATTGTGAATTTTTATTTTTCTGCAGAAAGGCAAATTCAAAGTATTGATAAATCCTATTTTAAAAAAAACATTGCAAACAATAATGCATAACTGATGACAAGTTTATTTAAATATGATAATAGGATGAAATGATGAAAAATTCTCAACCCAATTTAAACTTATTAAAAAAAAAAATAGGTAACAATAATAATGTTTGGTCAGACTTTGGGAAGTGAACAGGGTTGATTACTTTTCAGCGCCTCCTTTCATATATCAGAAATGAAGAGAAAATCCTACAATTAATTCTTATAGTCACTAAAAGTTTAAATTTTCCAGTAATAGATTTCCATAAATTTTATTGAAAGAGTTCAAGTTTTAATGAATGTTACAAAGTTAGCTTTAAGACCAATTAAAACTGGAGAATATAGAGTCCAAATGAATTGAATGATTATTCTCATATTAGTATATTTAATCATTTTTAATTATTCTGACAAGTTTTCAATCTTTAACTGCTGGACATCAATAATAGTAAAGCTTTTCAAGTACCTTAATGAGAAGCATAAAGATTATAAACAAAAAAAAAACTTAAAACTAAAAAAAGGTCAAATGCTCTCCTGCCAGGTTTCTCTACTCATCACAATGCAGATAAAAGTTTGTACAATTAATTGTAGAGTATATAAAAACAACATTGATAAAACCTAAAATATTTTAACTTGCCTCTCTAACATTTTCTGACGCGCCTACTTCACCAGCATGTGCAGTACGATGGATTCCAATGTCATGGGCTTCCTGCAGGAGAAATCAATTTGTAAATCATACAATTGACTGGATTAAAGAAATGGAGGTTTGGTTTTGTTTTAATTTTTTTAAATGGATTAAGTTGATGGCTGTATTATGGTTTCAATAAAAATAGATATTCACTTATTAATATCTACACTTAAACCATATCCTTATAGTTCAAGTAAATCTAAACACTGACATCATCTTAAAAGATTTGCTATATGTGTGAAATATATACAATTTTCACTATTTCCCAAAATACACAATGTTTCCTAACATATATATATATATATATATATATATATATATATATATATATATATATATATATATATATAGAGAGAGAGAGAGAGAGAGAGAGAGAGTCTTTGTTAATAGCACCTATGGTTAAAATTTTTCTTAAAGAATTAAAATCCCACAAAGTGGGTATCTATTTGAACAATAACACTATCTTAAAGTGTTCAGGAAAAAACAAAGTTATCAGCTGATAAACTGTTTTTATTTTCTTCAATCAAATTGAATTATGTAAGTAAAAAAATATATTAATTGATGTTTATAACATTTATTATTAATTAGGTAATAAAGTGTATACACCCAATCAACTGGGTGAGACTAGACTACAATAGACACTATGCCACCCATAATTTTGGGATTCACCATAATAAAATTATATAAAATTATATAATTATAACTCTTAGCAATAAGCTTGTATTGAAACACAAACAGAATAACTGATTGAGAAATTTCTATTGAAACAAGCTTAATGAAATATTTACAAATATGCAAATTTTTGTTGGATTTATCACAAGAAAACTGTTCAATGATGGTTTTAAACATCAGTGAAGAGGTGATTTCATTCTTCAAATAACATAAAAAGTATTCAATTATTTCTGAGCCATTCTTTAATGGAATCTGTTTTTAATCAGTGATAGTCTGGAAAATCAATATTCAACTTTCCAGAATGTGATTTGCAATGAAAAAATAGTTACAGAGCAATTGAAACATTTGTAAATATTGATTCAACAAGTGGATTATTTCACAAGTATTTCAACAGAATCAGAGGATTAAAGCTTCAACTTCAAATTGGCCAGAGAGTCTGGAAGTCATTGATAGACATTCTTCTGCAAGTTAAACATACCAACTTTCAGTTGTGAAGCATCACTCTCCTTTAAAATCTGATCAGTGTAAAATCATGAGATATTTGGCTGACAATGAGCTATTTTTATCTGTGATGACAAAAACTGTATGTAGAATTGTTGCGTCATTTGAAGACCAGGATCTGATTCAGATGAATCATCATCTTGACAGATTTAATTCTGTATATTTTTATGCTTATTCTTTCTGAACATCTATGAGCTTCTTAATTCTCAAATTCAAATTTATAATCAAGCTCAGCAACTTTCAAGCAATGGAAACAATGATACAGCAATGCTGATGTTAGTGGCTGTTTTCTGAAACTTCTGTAGGATTTAATTCCAAAGAATATAAAATCACCTTTTCTATGCCAAGATTGACACAGAATGTCAAACACCCACTTTTTATATTTTCATTGTTTTTCATTTATCATTGTTGACATAACTGATGTGCAATGCTTTTACAAATTCAAAATGACAACATGGAGGTGTGTGTTTTAGAGTCAATATTCAGCCATTTTCATTAAGTGCCTTTGTTAGTGAATTCCAGTACTTTGTTGATCAAAATGTAACAATCAAATAATTATTGCATCATACCAAAGAAATTGCAAACATTCAAGCAACAACTGACATTAGTAACACCAGATGAATTTAAAGAATATACTACACATGGATTTACTTTGCTTAATTCTACTTGAAGACTTGCATATTTATCAAACATAACCGTGACCTCTGATATCATTAAGAGAAAGTGTTAATCCTTTAAGAGTTTTGGGTACATTTTTCTGAAGAAATGAGGATGGAAAGAAACTTTGAAGAGCCTCTCCATAGGATAATTTCTTTTATTTACATATTGTACAAGTCAATTGATCTATTTGACTGACATCAGATTTTGAATCAATACATACTGAAAACTATTTACCAGCATGCATTTCTTTGCATATGGTAGATGCATTCAGTTCTATAAGATTACAAAATCTTGTTGAAGAAAGATGATTTATTATCCCATGTCCTTTGGTTCCAAAGCAAGAAATATGCTCTGCATGAAATGGACCAAATTTTGTTATCAATTTGAAAATTCTTATATAATTTGAATGTTTCATCTCCACAAAATGCCAATCCACATTGAACCAAATGACTCCAATGGTGTTCTGCTTGTCAATAATTATTTTTCTTCATTCAGATATTTATGATGCTCACCTTTGGTAAATCCTTTCTTCTTAGATTGTATTAGCTGGGAAAAAACAGCAATATTTAACTTTTTTTTTTTCAGTTAAATTTGTAATCCCCACCAAGTTGTAAAACCCCACCAAGTTTTTTTTAATTTATTTATTTAAATATGACATATTTGGGGCTTCTTTTTTTTCTTTTAAGTCTACAGGCCTGTAGCTTATGTTTAATCATGCATTACTTACAAAATAATATTTTTTTATTTATATGCTAAATGTATTAAGTAATTATTTTATTTATAATGGAATAAAGTTCTATATTGCTGTATTAATTTATGAGCTCTCTCAATGTCAAAGGCAGAGCTGGATTAACCTAGATGCTAACAACAGAAATCATTTTCTTTTTTATTGAAAATGTAATCAAATAAAACTGAACTTTTACTGCATTTAATGAAACTGCAATTCAGAGAACATTACATGGTGGTAATAAAACAAAAAAAAGAGATGTGATTGGATTGGTAGCTTGTTTTGAGCAGCCTCAATAATGACAATAATGAAAATGGTTTAATTCTAAAAGGAGATTCAGTAAACAACATTTATTGCCACTACAATCTGTAAACATAGAGCAACATTCACTTCCCTTTTGCCTACTTGTCGACAACAGGTGGCTGCTTTGAAGATCTAGCATTTAAACTTTACTGCTGGTCAAACACCAGACTATTCAGTCCCAGATAAAATTACAATGGCTGTGTGTGTCTGAAACAAAGCAGGGAATCATTGTGCTAATTTTCTAAACCTGTTGTTTGCAAAGAATAAGAGTTTGTATTTTATCTTTTTTTTTCCTATTAAGAGACTGCTCTTAAAAACGTAAATTGGGCTGTTCACAGTTATTGGATAATTATAAGCAAAATGATTATTTGAAGAGTCTGGAAAAATGAAAAATGATAATGATTGATAAAGAGATGAACTGAAAATTTAATTGATTACCTGAAATACAGTTTTTAGTGGACTTTCTGCATCTGTGAGGAACTCAGCACCAGCAATATCAATTCCTACCACATAATCATTACGGAATTCATCACACAACAGAAGGACTTCATAAGCATTTTCTGGTATTAAAAATAAACAGTCACATGATCCACAAATTATATAGTATAATTATTCTAGTTTGGTGTCATTTACAAAGAGTCAATTGGTTTTATTTGCTAATGGCAATCTACAAGGCAAGCCATAATTTTATTTTAGGCAAATAGTTATCAAACAATCGTCAGTTAAAACCAGTCAGAATCAATTAGAATTATATATTATGATGCTTAAAAATAAACTAATATTTTGTCTTTAAAGATGAATGAAAATGATGAGGGACTTTTGTTCAGCATATTTACTGTTTTACATTGAACAAATTATTTATCCACTTAAAAAAATTCTTTGTAGACCAAAATAAAATGTGGAGGTAAAAATGATTTTACAAGACATTTTAAAGGGTGTGATTAGAATGTTTTTGAAAATGGAATAAAGCATAAAGAAATTCCAATGAAATCAAAGAATCATGATAAAAACTATTTCTAAAAGAAAAAAGTAACAAGACAAAATATTCAATGAACATAAAAAAAACAAACCCAAAAGAAGAAAAAAAATACAGAAAAAACATTAAAAAAAAAAATTAAAATTGTCTAAGTTGGAGATGTGTGGGCAGTATAACGAAAATCATCACAGAAAGTGGTATAATGCCATTCAGTTGGCTGATGAGCTAAAGGGCTCATTGAATATCCAATAATGGCCGTCAATATCAGATTTTTTCCATCAACTGTTGGTTGCAGCGACTTCTACAGTTGTCAAAAAGTCCAGTTGAATGCCCACATTGTGACTGATCTCAAACGACCAGAAATCTGCTGCAAGAGTTGGTATACAATAGCTAACGGCAGCTTTGACGGTGATATAATGAAGGAGGCAACAACTTTTTTCAACTCTAACAAATCATTTATATGAGGTAATATCAGAAGAAAAATACAAACTTAAAAAACCATGGGAGTGATGGACGATTATACCTGAAGACTTGGGTTCTTAGTTGCTCAATCTGGGCATCTAATTGTTGGTTTTAGGTTGGTACATGATCATGGGTTCAGTAGTTAGCCTAGTCAGTTCTTAGACACATTCTGATTCAAATCTCTTTCTTGGAGTTCTTCTGTGAACTTTGCTGAACTACTCTGAAGTCTGCTGATCTGTTCTGCTCAACTTGCAACCCTATTCTGAAAGCCTCAAAATGCCCAGTTTAAATAATACTTTGCTCAGAACAAAGTGTGTGTGTGTGTGTGTGTGTGGGGGGGTCTAACTTGCATAGAAATATCAACCATTCCTTTGTCTCAACTGAAATTTTCAAATTTTGGGCAATTATCCAGCTCCTTAGTGGCAGTGAGAGGGTTAATCCACCCATCAAACTCCAACTTGCCTTCTTCAGCATCTCTGATTTCCACTCATAGCTGCCACCTCATCTTCCTCCAACTTCCTTAGAAACAACCTGTTACTACTCTCTTTTGGAGTGTCACTTGATCCGGTTGACCAATCCCTTTCTAGGAACTATAACAAAGGGCAGTCTGAACCTTAACTAAAAGCTAGCCATCAACTATAGTAAAATACTCTTCAGCGACTTAAGTGAATTCATTTTATGGAAAAGATCACCCCTTGAAAAAAATTATTATCATCCAGTTTCTGCTGGACACAGCCAAAAGCATCAAGAAATGGCTGTATGGATTATGGAGAAATCAAATCTCCAGAAAAAGATAAAAAATATTTAATTCTCTTTTCTTTCAAGTCACATGCAATGCTTCCTCTAATTATTATCTTCATGTGAAAAATTATTATCCAAATCAGTGTCCTGCTTTAAGCCTGAATGAAACAGATGTTTTTCATCAATCTCAACCACATGAAATTGCTTCATAAAAAATGACTCTCTGACCAGACAGTGGTTACTTTTGTCATAGTTTTAATATCCATTTAGAAATCTACATCCTTTACAATTTTATCTCCATTAGTGGGTTTAAGTGTATCCAGGCCAGAACACTCCAGTCAAGATTTAAATATTATCTCAACCTGAGATAAGTGTTTTCTAGGTCAACCCATCCTCCTGTAGCCAATAATGTCAGAGTGGGATTTGCTGGCTGAGTCCAAGTTCCATCCTAGTAAGTTGTGTTCATTTTCACATGAATGCACTTGGGAGAAGCATAAATCCATTCCAATTCCATAATAGAATAACCTTTTATTTTTATCTTTGGAAGATTGTAGTATTAAAAGTAGTTCTGAATGTTAAAAATTCTATAAAAATTTTGCATTCCAACAATATATCATACAAAGTGCTCAACAAAGAAAATCTAAAAAGATGCATTCACATATTTAGAATAAGTCCGGTTTTCAGATCTATTCTTAAATGTGAGCAATATTATGAAAATAATTTATCCATAAAAAAAACAAAACAAACAAAAATAATTTTTATTAAAAAATTATTGTTATCAAGGAGAATAAGGATTTAGACAAATTGCATGGTTTTTCTGGTTTGTTTAATATTCATAGGAAGTCACTTTTAAGTTTTGGGAAGAAAAAATATGAATAATTGTCCCAGGGTAGACATAGATGACTTCACTGTACTGCAACACGAATATGATGTAATTTACATCAAGTAACATCTTCAATTCACGTATAAAAAAAAAAAAAAAAAAAAAAAAACTGTTCTTTACAATTCATTTTACTCACACTAATTAATGCTTCTAGAATATCAGAAAAAAAAAAAAAAAAAAGTTATGAAACTTGCATATACATTGAAAAAAAAATGTTCTAAAACTTGGCAACATATATTTTTTGTAAGACACAAGAACATTTTATGTTGTCATTAAAATATTTTATTTTTCTAAAAATTAAAGATTTCCTACAAACTGAATTTTATTAAAAACTGCATAACTTCTTCAGCCTTAACAAAAATACTTACACTAACTTTGTTAGTAGCTCAAGCTTCAAATTCAAAGCTCTAACCACTGAGCTATCACCCATAACTTTTATTTAATGAGGCTATTTTCAGCTGTAAATCTTACCTGGTTGATTTCGCATGCAACAAAGTATCAATCTCAATTTGATGCTATATTTCTTGCAGCCTTCCTTAAGTGCATCCGTTGCAATTCTAACAATGTCACGCACTTGCCGACAACGTTCTGTCTCTGAATTAGGATCAACAAGGATATGAGGTGCAAAGCGTACTTCTGCATAATAGATATTTTGTTTGGCACAATCTTCACAGAAATCACTGACGATCTGCTCCAAAGCCTCCTTATCTCCCCTGTAAGAAATAAAATTAAACTGCCATATGTTGGAAGTGAAAAGCTTTCATCAAACAAAAAAAAAAAATTTCCCCTCTCTTATGAACCATAATCATAAATGTCTCAGATGAGAAGTAGAACAAGACCAACAAAATATGACATCCAACATAATTGATGTGAACAAGTGCAGTAGATAGACCAAGTAAAATGTAAAATAAAAAATAATCATAATACTGACATGCACAAATTGCTATTCTTATAGTAATTCAAATCATCAATCATTAGTCATCTTTCATAACATATATATGTATGTATGTATGTATGTATGTATGTATGTATTTAGGCAGCAAATTCTATTTTAGGCATGTCTGATTGAATAAATTGTTTGCTAATTTTTAATAAAATCTGTTCATGCTCACGAATAACCTTCTGTGTTAAAGGATGAGAGAAATGTGCTACAGCTGTTTAAATTTATTTTATTTTCATTTCCCAAGTACTTTCGATCTTCTTCCAAAATCATCTTCAGGGATGCAAGTAGTACAAAACTATATGTTGTTCATCAGTATAAGTATTTATACAAAGTTGTGTGTTGTTATCCATTACTGTAATTTTTTCATTAGGCTTTTAAATGCAAAAGTATAATAATATGATATAACAATAGCAAATAAGATGATAAAATTTAACTCCATAAGTCTTAAAAAGGGGAAACTTACCTTATAATTGGTAAGAAGTAGTCAAAAGCATCCAACATTTTATCCAACCCTTCTTCTTTTGTTATTTTCACTTTCTTGTCAAGTTCTTCGATAGTTTTCTCAGGCAGATCAATCTCTCGCCGTCTAATAAATGATTTAAAGAAAAGAATGACCAAAAATAACAACTTCAATAGCCATTGAATATGTTTTTATTTTAATAATTTCACCCCAAGCAAAACAAAGTCACTAAGACATAATGGGTTACAAATTGTTAGAAAATGAGGAAAAAAACATTAAGGAGAGAAAACAATAAAAGAACAAGAATTAAAAAGACAAAAAGATAATGCATTTACATTTTTGAAGATCAAAGTTGACTGGGAAGCAAGAGACCAGTAGAGGGTTCCACAAGCAAGAAGTGCGATAGAAGAAACTGTTAGCATAGAACTTATGGTTACATTTAGCCTTTTCAACTGTAAAATGAGATTTTGCATCCAATCTAGTATATAAAATCTAGGTGTCATAGATGAAAGTTCATCAGAACAATTACCATGAAAGTATTTATAGAAAAGGCGCAGGAAAGGTATGTTATGGCAATGGGAAAGTGACTGAAGATGACATGCCAGGTTTGGACCAATAATATTGCAGATTTTTCTTTGGATTTTATCAAGAATCTCAAAATATATAGCAGGAGCACCACATGAAATGTGACAGCAATATTCAAAGAAAGTACGAATGGTAGACTTATAAATATATAAATTAGATTCTGGTGAGAAAAATTGTCTATCATGACAGTGAACCAACTTTCCTAGCAGCAGACCTAGCAATTGATTCAATATAATCTTTCCACTTTTTGTCAGCTGAAAATGTTAGTCTGAGAAAGTACAAGGACTCACTCTTGTGGAGGTTAGCATCAGCCATGCTGATGAAGGCAAAAAGTGTTCTCTCTGATGATTAAAAGAGACCATTTTCATTTTTGAGATATTAAAATTAACAAGCCATTCTTTGCTTCAGTTAATTGTTGTGAGATCAGCTACCAATTTAACCTTATCAAACTGATCAGACTTACTAAGACGGGAGTAAATAGTTCTGTCATCTGCATAGATATTGAGTTGAGAACTGATATCAGAAAAGTCATTGATGATAATTCTGAACAACATAGGTCCAATGATAGAGCCCTGGAGAACACTTGCATTCATGCAAAAAGATATAGAAGAGTGGCCATTCAAGACAACTTTCATTTTGCAATTTGTTAAGAAAAACTGAATCATTTCCAAATTTTGTCCCAAAATGGTATAGCCTTTCAACTGGTGAAGAAAACCAGTATGCCAAACCCTGTCAAATGTCTGAGATATCTAAAGCAACAACCTGAGTTTCATCATTCTTATGTAAAGCTTGATAGACTATTTCAGCAATAATCTATATCTATAAAACAGAAGATATGTGTGTGTGTGGTGGGGGGGCCTATTTATCCATGTCCACATTTCTCGACTGATTGTACACACATGTTGCAAATTTACCAACATAGGCCAAGATCAACTTTTCAATCTCCAGGTACCCTGGGTTTGGCAGAAAAATTGATGACACTGAAGGCAAAGTTACATGCGAACAAAATTTTTACTGAATGAGCTGATGTTTTTTTGCACTTAATGCAAAACATAGCTCATGTTAAGTTTATGTAGAATGCGTGACAAAAAAAAAAAAAAAAAAGAAAAGTAAAAAAGGCCTTTTTGTACTACTTGAAATAAAAACTTGAATAACTTCATTTTTTTATCTGATTTTCTTCAAACATGTTGCAAAAATTTGCCATCATGCAATAAATAAGATAGTGTGGTTTTGTCCTGCTTGCTTCCCCATGTACAAGGAAAAAAAAACCACGAAAAACTGTTCAAAAAGCCATAATTCCCTGGTTTTTGATCTGATGCTTTCCAAATTTGCCATCTAAATTACATATTGTCTTGGGTGAATGTTTAGTTTAGATTATTTCAGTTAAGTAGATGAAATCTGTGATAAACTAGGTTCAAAATCGGCCATTTATGATTCCATCCTAAATTCGTATTCAAACAACATTTGATGCAAAGATTGTTTGAGAAGGATTATTGAAATGTTAGGGAAAAATTCTTGAAGAACCTCTTATTAACCCCAGCTTTACAGCAAACATGCAAAGAAGGAGTGTGAGTGGCATTCATGCAGTTGCACTTGAATAAAGATCTGATGCTTCATCCCTGTTTTTGTTTGATTATTAAATTTGTGAACAATACCATACCATTTGAAAGTTATTATGGCAATAGGAAATTTACTGAATATCTAAAACATTGAAACAATTTAACCCTGAGCGACGATCACACAAGAAGGTTTTAGCAATAGATTTCCTTTAAGAACAATCAAACACTTGCAAAGGACATACTGTAAAAAAGATGAGTTAAGAAGAAGGTAGCTTAGTATACCATTGGATGTTGCATGCAAGCAGAGACGCAAAAAGACATTTCTAGACAGTGGGTGCGGGTATACAACTGCAGCCACGTACATCTGGGCAATGCCGGGTACCTTGGCTAGTCAGCAGTTAAGCTAGAGAAGTAAAAGCCATATTGTTTATCTGAAAGAAGACTCTGCAAGGTGAGATGCTTAACCACTTCAGGGTTAATTAAAGCCTCTAGTACTTTGTCAAAAGAGGTATAAGGATTATGGGGTTTGCCTAAGTTCTTAAAGACTGAAACTACAAAAACAGATTTCCAACAAGTAGGAAATAAATGAAACAAAAAGGCATTTATTGTTGATCATTTGTATGTAAAAAAATTTGGTTGCCACTGTTTTTAGTTGAGCTAGAAGTAGTGACCACAACAGAGTAAAATAAGATCAAATATGTGTAAAAATTAATTATATTTTCATGACATACAGTTCAGAAAGTTCTGGTCTGCTCTAGTCATCATCTTCTCATGAAAACTATTCCTAAAGTAATACTTATCATTTGGTGGAAAGCTTTGACAACAAAAACTGAAATAAATACCAATACTTATATAACAAATAAAACTTTTACATACCTCAATCTACTACAATACTTTAACATTTTTACAATTGTTTACAGTGGATTAATTATTTGCTTTTGTGATCTTTTTAACAAAATTAAATTCTAGAGTTTTGCAAATATAACAGCCTTGTTTGTTATCATTCCTTATTGGCCCTCTTGGGGTAAAATTTTCTCAGATTTGTGCTGTCGACATTGTAAACAGTAGCAGACTGCACAATGTATTGATTTTTGACATGCATCTGTACTGCATGGCCATCCAGAACTTGGTCTATGCATGTAGTAATGTTCATTTGATTACTATTGCCAACAGCAAAACACCACCAATGTGTCATGTTTAACATTTACAGCATTGCTCCTAATTGATGATCCAACCTTTAGAAGGCCTGCAATACAACACCACTCATATAAGTTTAATTGAAGAACACATGTGCATCTCCATAGTATGACACCTTCTTGTACTGCAAACTAAAACTATGGTTCACTTGTATATGTGTTTCTATATCCCAAGAGAGTCAAACATTTTGAAACTTACCAGAATATCTATTACCCCTTAGTATACCGATATTGCGTCTAGGTTAAAATTTAGTATTGTCCTTCAAAGTGTTTCAATTTTCTCTCTCTGTATAATTCTTTACTTTGTGTAAAGCACAGATCAAATATACAAAATAAAAATTTATATTTATTTATAATAAAACTGCCCAATTGAAGAGTCAAATTGGGATAAGTTGATGAAGTCTTGAAAAATTAAGCTTTATCTGTATTTTATTAAGTATTACCATTTTTCATTTATTAGTATTTTTGGTTTATAAATATAGTGATATTAAGATATAAAATCAAGTCAATTGGAATGATCCTTTCCTTAGCTGCATTGTATGCACTTCATCAGGGTTACATATAGTTTTGTATTCAGAGTTTTCCTTCTTCTAGACCAGTTGCCACCCAAAGCTATAGAACCCAGTCTTTCCTATTATTTACACATATTTACATTTGATTCCTTTTAAGATATAGCAATACTTTTTATTAAATTTGTCAAAAATTGTCTTTAGAATATATCTGTATAAATGTTTCTAAATATCTGTCTTTAGTTTATATCTGTATAAATGTTTCTGTAATTCCAAGACAGCTTTGATGCAATTATTTGTAATAAACCATTAATATTGTAAAGTTCTTAAACATTAGAGGTTTAAAAACTGTCAATACAATTTGTATCCAGTTTAACTTCTATTATTTGTACACCGATAAAAATTGTTAACTCCTAAAACAACTTAAAAAAAAAAAAAAAAAGATTTCATGTAACTGTTACTAGAGCTATCTTCCAAAATTGCATTGGTAATGAAGTCTGTCAGATAAGCAAGATCTCAACTTCGTGCTGTAAATTAATTATGAATGCCAAAAGAATGCAGAAATGAGAAAGACTAATTGTGAATGGATTCTAAGTTGGATAAAACAAAGTACAAAGTCAGAAAAGTTTATGAAGAAGACAAACTGGTTAGCCTCTTGATACCAGATTGTAAATTATCAGATCATTGGCATACTTCTTTTAGATTAATTTAGTGAGATCTTTTCAGGGCAGGATGAAATTATTTCAAATAGAATTGGAAGAGTAATCTATACAGTGAAAGGAAAAAGATGTGTATGTAAAAGACACGTAAACCAGTTAAGACCAAGATACTCTGAAATCATTCAACAGGATGAAGAAATTCCGATGGGTGTCCTGTACGACACGTTTGAAATAACACCACCCACTAACATAGCAGAATGCATGGATACATCTCTTACACCAGATTTGCCCATAGGATTGAGATGTTATCCACCTCGAAAGAGTAAAAGGAAAAGAAAACTCACAGTGCAGTTAAGTTCAGACCCGAAAAAGAGGAAGTATTAGAAATCTAAATTTTCTAGAGGAAAATTTCAGCTCTGGAAAGGTGATGTAATGGAATAACCTGTCACTCCCATGAGTGACTACACTATAGGTAGTAACTACCTATAAGTATCCATAATGCAATAGACTACAGAGTCTAGCTGGGTTCTGTTGAGTACGACTCAGACTTATGCGAGAACTACCGACCTTCCAATAGCAGCACTCACTACTGGATTGACTTGCGACGACCATGCGCAT